TTTCATTACCCAACTAGGTAACATCATCAGTGCTAGAAGGGAGTGTGGGAGGAGGAGGAGGAAGAGGAGGAGGAGGAGGAGGAGGAGGAGGAGGAGAACTGTAGGGTTCTTGGTGTTCTCTGAGCTTGGTTGCTTTCTTGCAGACGTTTCATTACCCAACTAGGTAACATCATCAGTGCTAGAAGGGAGTGTGGGAGGAGGAGGAGGAGGAGGAGGAGAAGAACTGTAGGGTCCTTGGTGCTCTCTGCGCTTGATTGTTTTCTTGCAGACATTTCATTACCCAACTAGGTAACATCATCAGTGATAGAAGGGAGTGTGGCAGGAGGAGGAGGAGGAGGAGGAGGAGGAGAACTGTAGGGTCCTTGGTGCTCTCTGAGCTTCATTGTTTTCTTGCAGACATTTCATTACCCAACTAGGTAACATCATCAGTGCTATTGATATTACCTAGTTGGGTAATGAAACATCTGCAAGAGAGCACCAAGGACTCACAGTTCAACCGTAAGCTTATTTCTGTTAATCCAGTCTTCTTTGTGCTTTATAAACCAGTAAGTTTATATACGAACTTTGCTCAAATAGCAATAACCTGAGTATTTAAGTTTATTTTAACCCAACGTCGTTCACACTGTCGTAAGCCTTAAGGCTGCACTTAGATAAAAAAGGTAGTATGTGGCAGAGACTTGTTTTATTACTTCCTCATTTGATTTATGAAGTACCGAACACATTTGAGTCCTAAGCACTGAGATAACATTTCTGGGACCAGAGCCAAATTAACAAAGGGGGAACGATTAGAATTTTGGCAACGAGCTTGTCGTGTTTAGAACTATATAGGTGGATAGAAAGGTAAGGAAAGAGTATCTTTAAACATAATTATTATCCTTCCTCAGAAGGGATAATAACATTCTGCTCTCTTAATAAAATGCCTTCTTTTGGCATGGTAACAATAATGTTTGATTGTGCACTGAATTGCATTCAATAATGTTAGTTTTTTTAAAAAAAAACAGCCAAATGCTTTTGTTCCATTGGGTGTGCATGTTTTCTTGTGCATATGCTTTCTCTTCAAAATTCTCACTCAGCTTTGCTTAGGTTTTCACCAGTTGGGTGCAGTCAGCTGAAGAGATTCTGAAAACCAGGATTATGGATGAGTTTGATGGGAAGGGCCCTCTGAGGTGGGAATGTTGTAACCGAGTAGATGCCAGAATCTTCTGGAATGTTCTCCCGCCGAACTGACAGAGTTGTGGTGTTTCTAGTTTCTGATTTTCTACTTGTTATTTTCAGCGTTGAGTTTTTTTTTTTTCTCTTTTCCCTGCATATTTGTCAGCCCCTTAAAACAGGCAAGTTTAAAAAAATCGATGTAATTGCTTTTCTGTTCCAGGCAAGGAAATTGATCAGTGATTTTGCCATCATCATTTCTATTTTCATTTTCTGTGGAATCGATGCTCTGGTCGGCGTAGACACCCCAAAACTCCTTGTGCCAAGTGAATTCAAGGTATGTNTCTCTTTTCCCTGCATATTTGTCAGCCCCTTAAAACAGGCAAGTTTAAAAAAATCGATGTAATTGCTTTTCTGTTCCAGGCAAGGAAATTGATCAGTGATTTTGCCATCATCATTTCTATTTTCATTTTCTGTGGAATCGATGCTCTGGTCGGCGTAGACACCCCAAAACTCCTTGTGCCAAGTGAATTCAAGGTATGTTTAAAAACTGTTTCCTCCCTTCTTTTAAGACAGTGGTTCTCAACCTTTTTAATGCCGCGACCCCAACCGGTCGTAAGTCGAGGACTAAACCGGTCGTAAGTCGAGGACTAAACCCGGTCGTAAGTCGAGGACTACCCAACCGGTCGTAAGTCGAGGACTTTCCCTGCCCGGGAGCGCCGCGCATGCGTGGTTCCGCCCCCTGCGCCGGCCAAGGCGTAGCTGGCAGGCGGCAGAGACGGAGCAGGCCGACCACCAGCTGGCCCAGGCCAAGGGAGGTAAGGCACCCGCCGGAAAAGGGGGAAAAAATGGACAAAAAAAATGGCGGACAGCCTTGCTTGGCGACCCCCATGAAATGGTCGATCGACCCCAAATGGGGTCCCGACCCACAGGTTGAGAACCACTGTTTTAAGAAGACAAGGAATTAGCAATACTGGAGGAGGATTATCAAATCTGGGCTGCAAAACCAAGATGACCAGCAGAGGGCAGCAAAGACATACATTAAAACCAGCTCTTTGCTACCACATTGTGGTCTCTAGGATGTTTGCAGCCTATAATCAATTGCATAATCGTATCGAAGTATGACTTCATTGTACATCTGCATCATGATTCGTGCCTCTACTATTTACTGCTATGGAACACTGGGACAACTACACTATGCAAAGCACTAATGGGGAACTTACCCTTAGTGACCCACGGACTCATTACAGCACGTTTTTCAGTACTTTGGAGCAGAGGTGATGGGATAAGCATCAACAAGTGTGTGAGATCAGAATAAAGACCCAGAGCAAGACAACTTTAATCTATAGCAGGGGCGTCAAACTGCTGGCCCGCCGGCCCGATGCGTCATGCCGAAACCACACCCATCCCAGTTCCGGCAATGTAGAAAAAGTTGTGATACGTTGCGACACGTCACGTGACATGGAGAGTTTGACACTCCTGATCTATAGGGTTTTTTAAAAAAAGTTTTATTTTAGAAATTAAATTTGGTTAATATGACAGCTTCTATATATTTGGTATTTTCTCCTTTCTGTAAATTTAACCAGCCACTTTTGCAGATCTTTAAGGGACGCCTTTAAGATTTAGGGTAAAAGCACATATAACTCATCCCTTCACATTGGGCAATCTTCCGTGCAATCCAGCTACCTCTTACAGCAGGGGTGTCAAGCTGCCGGCCTACAGACCGGATGCGTCACGCGGAAGCTGCCCCCACCCCATCTCCGGCAAGGAGAAAAAAGTCACGATACGTCGCAACACGTCACGTGACGTGGCGAGTTTGACACACCTTTCTTACAGGGAGTCTTGATTCCATACTGCAGCAATAGTCGCCTGCCAGTAGATCTGTATCTTGTTCTGGTCTGAAAAAAATACGGTGACCACCAGAGGGCAGCAGAAAGACCCAGAAGTCCCCCCCATCTCTTTGCTGCCATCTGGTGGACATTTGGATGCTTCCATCCCAGATCCAGTTCATGCAAAACTAGCCGTGTTGTTTTCCCGGTGGATTGCTGAGTAGTTTGTGAACGCTTTTTCTCTGCTCTTGTTTCTGACATTGCATATGAATAATGGGAAGTGCAAATACACCCCCCCCCCAAAAAAAATATGCAATATGCAGTGGATATGAGGATCTAAAAACACAAAGGATATGGGAAGTATTCTTTGACCCTTCGTTGCAATGTTTTTTTTTTTGTTGTTGCAAATTTGAGTTTACTTCAAGAACTCTTTCCTTTCACCTGACATGTTTTTTTAATGTCTTTCTGATGCCCTTTTCTGTCTTTTTCCCTGTGAAGCCAACAAACCCAAATAGAAGCTGGTTTATCACACCGTTTGGAGGAAACCCGTGGTGGGTGTACCTGGCTGCAGCTATTCCTGCTCTCCTGGTGACCATCCTCATCTTCATGGACCAGCAAATCACAGCTGTTATTGTCAACCGTAAAGAGCACAAACTAAAGGTGGGTGCCTCGTTAGGCAGGATTTGAGCGGGGATGAGCCAAATTGTTTTACAGAGTAAATTGGGGTAGATCTCTCCAGGAGATTGGGGCAGTTAACTGTTCTGAGGACAATGGTGATAGGTTCCAATGAGGTCTCCTTGGAAGCAGTTCATTGCTTAAAATAATAGTAGTAACTGTGAGAGGGATCTCGGAGTCCTAGTGGACAATCCCTTAAATAGGAGCCAGCCGTGTGCTGCAGCTGCCAAAAAGGCCAACACAGTGCTAGGCTGCATTAACAGAGGGACAAAATCAAGATCACGTGAAGTATTAATACCACTTTACAATGCCTTAGTAAGGCCACACTTGGAATACTGCATCCAGTTTTGGTCACCACGATGTAAAAAAGATGTTGAGACTCTAGAAAGAGTACAGAGAAGAGCAACAAAGATGATTAGGGGACTGGAGGCTAAAGCATATAAGGAACGGTTGCTGGAATTGGGTATGTCTAGTTTAACGAAGAGAAGGACGAGGGGGGACAGGATAGCAGTCTTCCAGTATCTCAGGGGCTGCCCCAAAGAAGAGGGAGTCAAGCTATTCCCCAAAACGCCTGAAGGCAGGACAAGAAGCAACGGGTGGAAACTAACCAAGGAGAGAAGCAACCTAGAACTAAGGAGAAACTTCCTGACAGTGAGAACAATTAACCAGTGGAACAACCTGCCTCTAGAAGCGATGAATGCTCCAACACTGGAAGTTTTTAAGAAGAGACTGGACAGCCATTTGTCCGAAATGGTATAGGGTTTCCTGCCTGAGCAGGGGGTTGGGCTAGATGACCTCCAAGGTCCCTTCCAACTTTATCATCATCATCATCATCATCATCATCATCATCATCATCATCATCATCATCATTATTATTATTATTATTATTATTATTATTATTATTATTATTGTTATTAATGCGTTGAGGGATGCATTATTAAGTGGTCATCCTTGGTTGTATAAACAGAGGCATAGAATCAAAATCACGTGAAGTATTAGTACCGCTTTATGAAGCCTTAGTGAGGCCACACCTGGAATACTACATCCAGTTTTGGTCACCACATTAGAAAAAACAACGTTGAGACTTTGGAAAAAGTGCAGAGAAGAGCAACTAAGATGATTAAAGGCCTGGAGACTAAAACATACGAAGAATGGTTGCAGGAATTGGGCATGACTAGTCTAGAGAAAAGAAGGACCAGGGGTGACATGATAGCAGTCTTCCAGTATTTGAGCAACTGCCACAAAGATGAGGGGGTCAACCTGTTTTCCAAAGCACCAGAAGGCCAAACAAGAAACAAGGGATGGAAACTAATCAAGGAGAGAAGCAACCTGGAACTAAGGAGAAACTTCCTAACAGCGAGGACAATTAACCGGTGGAACAGCTTGCCTCCAGAAGTTGTGGGTGCTTCACTAGAGGTTTTAAAGAAGAGACTGGACAGCCACTTGTCTGAAATGGTATAGGGCAGGGGTGTCAAACTGCCAGCCCATGGGGCGGACGCATCACGCAGAAGCCACACCCACCCCATTGCCGGCAATGGCAAAACAGTCCCGATACATCACGTGACGTCACGAGTTTGACATGTCTGGTATAGGGTCTCCTGCTTGAGCAAGAGATTGGTCTAGAAGACCTCCAAGGTCCCTTCCAGATCTATTCTGATTGAATCTATGGTGCATTTAGATTATTTTAGATAATGATTCCCAGAAGGCCTTAACAATGATGAAAGATTAAGATTATTTTAATCCCAAATTCTAAAAGACCTCAAGAAATCTAGATGGACATTAGTTTCCATCCATTACCTGTTATCCTGCCTTCAGGTGCTTTGGAGGATATAATCCTCCCCAATAATTTGGAGAATTTAACTTGCCTTCTCCTTAACGGACATGTGATTAAATCAACATGGCCTCCACAGCCACCTAGTGTTTGCCCCTAAGAAAAGAGTGAGAATGCTTTCTGAAGAAATATAAATGGGCTTTGTCTTGGCTTTGAACCAGGAAACACAGCTGGGCCAACTGTTCAGCCTGGAAGGAAATATCTCTGAATGCCACCAGCTGTTTATTATTGCGAAATCAACATTTATCAATTGACCCCTCCTTCATTTCATCTCAGGCTCTGCTTACCATGTTTCTCCAAATGCAAAACTCTACCAACCACAGAGCTTGGATCAATCAGGATACCCCATCTTCGTAGGCCGGAAATCCAGACTCTTTGCAGGGGGCTGGAGGCGTGATCAGAATCCCCACCAAAAAATGACAAGAGAAGGTTAGATGGAGGAAGGAGACATTGAGAAGCACCTAAGATCCTGCTGGATCTGTATTGCTGCAGCCCATGTTCAGGATAGCTATGTATCCCCTCCCTTTTTTATCCAGCTGATTTACCCATCGGAAGTTGAAGAGAAGACAGAGTTTCAGCATAAACCTTTTCGGACATCATTTAAGAAACTTGTTCAGACTGCTTGCATTAACAAGAATTAACGTAGTTCTCTCCCGGGAGGTATCTGGGAGTGTATATTTCCAATCTTAACTGAATAAAGGGACCTTGGAGGTCTTCTAGTCCAACTCCCTGATCAAGCAGGAGACTGAAGGCAGGACAAGGAGCAACAGGTGGAAACTAATCAAGGAGAGAAGCAACCTAGAACTAAGGAGAAACTTCCTGACAGTGAGAACAATTAACCAGTGGAACAACCTGCCTCCAGAAGCGGTGAATGCTCCAACACTGGAAGTTTTTAAGAAGAGACTGGACAGCCATTTGTCCGAAATGGTGTAGGGTTCCTGCCTGAGCAGGGGGTTGGACTAGATGACCTCCAAGGTCCCTTCCAACTTTATCATTATTATTATTATTATACTCTATACCAGTGATGGCGAACCTTTTAGAGACCGAGTGCCCAAACTGCAATCCAAAACCCACTTATGTATCGTCGGGTGCCGGGTGGGCGTGGCCCACTGGGTGGGCGTGGCCAATTGGGTGGGCATGGCTGTGGTGGTAACGGCAGACGGGGTGGGACTAAAAAGTTCAATCAATCAATTCCAACTTTGCGACATCTTTTTTTTCCCGTGAGAAGTTGGAATTGATTGATTGAACCTTGGGGGTTTTTTGCACACGGCGGCGGACGCCTAAAACGAAAAAGTTTTATAAAACCCAGGTGAAGGCCTAGGACTGGGGTGATGGCACGCGTGCCCACAGAGAGGGCTCTGAGTGCCGCCTCTGGCACCCGTGCCATAGGTTCGCCACCACGGCTCTATACCATTTCAGACAAACGGCCGTCCAACCTCTTATCAGGTTTTCTCTTTGATTAGTTTCCATCCACTGCTTCTTCTACTGCGTTCAGGTGCTTTGGAGAATAGGTTGACCACCTCTTCTCTGTGACAGCCCCTCAAGTATTGGGATACTTAGTTGGACTTTACACCTAGCTAAGTAAAAAACAAAACCAAACCTGGAGGTATAGATATTTCTACAGGACAAGAATATACTGTCAACACTATTCCTTCTTTTCACTAGACTAGACATATCCAATCCCTGCTACTGTTCATCATATGATTTAGCCCCCAGTCCCCTAATCATCTTTGTGGCTCTCCTTTGCACTTTTTCCAATCTCGACATCTGTTTTGTGTTGTGATGACCAAAACTGGATACAGTAATTCCAAGTGTGGCCTTACCAGGGCATTATAAATTGATACTAACACTTCACGTGATCTTGGTTTTATCGCTCTGATGAAGCAGCCTAGGACATTGATGGCGAACCTTTTAGAGACCGAGTGCCCAAACTGCAACCCAAAACCCACTTATGCATCATTGGGTGCCGGGTGGGTGTGGCCTATTGGGTGGGTGTGGCCCATTGGGTGGGCGTGGCTGCGGTGGTAACAGCAGACTGGATGGGACTAAAAAGTTCAATCAATCAATTCCAACTTTGCAAGATGTTTTTTTTTTCCCACAAGAAGTTGAAATTAAATGATTGATTGAACCTTTTTTTTTTGTACACGGCGGCGGAGGCCTAAAGCAAAAAGGTTTTATAAAACCCAGCTGAAGGCCTAGGACTGGGGCGACGGCGCGCGTGCCCACCGAGAGGGCTCTGAGTGCCGCCTCTGGCACCCGTGCCATAGGTTCGCCACCACTGGCCTAGGATTGCTGCAGAAGTATTTCAACTGCTGTTCCATTTATTATTGTTGGAATATCCATCCAGTTGTGTGACCACGTCCCTGCAGATGGAAATATACGTATCTATACCTCCAGGTTTTTTTTTACTTAGCTAGGTGTAAAGTCCAACTAAGTTTCCCAATACTTGAGGGGCTGTCACAGAGAAGAGGTGGTCAACCTATTCTCCAAAGCACCTGAAGGCAGGAGAAGAAGCAATGGATGGAAACTCATCAAGGAGAAAATGAACCTAGAAATAAGGAGAAATTTCCTGACAGTAAAATCAGTTAATCAATGGAATGGCCTGCCTTCAGAAGAAATGCTCTTATCACGGGAGGTTTCTGATAAGAGATTGGACAGCCGTTTGTCTGAAATGGTTTAGAGTCTCCTGCTTGATCAGGGAGTTGGACTAGAAGACCTCCAAGGTCCCTTTATTCTGTTAAGATTATAGCTTTGCAACATATAGATGCCGAAGGGATTATCGTCAAGCTCAATGGGATTTTAACACCCATCTAAGTCAAAAGAAGTGGAGGTACAGATCATTTGTATAGGACAAGAACATATCATGCCCTTTGTTACGCTACGGCAGACATGTCAAACTCGCGACGTCACGTGACGTCGCGCAGCATGTTGGGACGGTTTTGCCATTGCCGGCAATGGGGCGGGCATGGCTTCCGCGTGACGCTTGACACCCCTGTGCTACGGGGTTTCATTGGCTGAGTTCCTACTCCATAAGAATCACACTTCTTATGGAATTGTGGGGCAGGATGGTTTCCCATTGGAGGCATCTCGCCCTTGTCCTGTCCTCATACTCCTAGGAGTATCTTTTCTCTCCAGCAGCCAAGGTGTCATTGTGCTTTCATAATTTTTCCCACCTCCTACTACAGGGGTCTTCAAACTTGGCCCTTTTATGACTTGTGGACTTCAACTCCCAGAATTCCTCAGCCAGGCACGCTGGCTGAGGACTTCTGGGAGTTGAAGTCCACAAGTCATAAAAGGACCAAGTTTGAAGACCCCTGTTCTAAGGTTTCAAATAGAGGTGACAGAGGGGTAAAATAAGTATATATGTTGAAAGCAATGTTCTCTCTTGAATCTGCTTTCAGTCATCTTAATGGTCTCCCCACGGCTGCTAATACACTCAAAATATAAAATACATTAAGTTCAAGAGAAAAAGAAGTATTTCTCTTAACAGTACATTTCTTCACTTTCTCTACTTCTCCATTTTCAGCTTATTTCCAAAGTTCTTTGATCCGTGCTTTTTTTGCAGTGAGATCTTCACTAAGTTGAATTTTTATTCTTCATAGCTAACTTGAGACACTAGCAAGAGAGGTGCTATTTTCTTTTAAGCTGCATACAAGGCAAAGATAGACACGCTTGAAACAACACCAGATGTGAGAACAAAATGACAGCCCTGTTAAATTTGCACGGTGAAAAAAAAAATTGGGACAAGAACAAGGTGCAAATCTTGGTGCTAATTAACTTCTTTTCAAGATAAAGCAGGGTGTCTGCTTTAGGCTACATTACTTCCAAAAAATATATCTGTCTTTGAGAATAATTCCGTCATTTGCAGGTGAAGTCTGAATTTCATTTAACTTGACTCTACACCCTGATGGCCAAAGGGGAAACTTAACACTTTAAATATCCTCACTCACATTACTTTATTTTCACAAGTTTCAAGATGCACAAGGCCATTTTGCGTAGGATTAAAAAAAAAGTGTTTATTAGGTGGTTCTCCTCCTGACGTTTTCTCCCTTTAGTATCTCTCAGCTCATTTGCTGTGGGAGCAAAGTGGAGGACTGTCCAGTCTCTTCTTCAAAACTTCCAATGTTGGAGCATTCACCGCTTCTGGAGGCAGGTTGTTCCACTGGTTAATTGTTCTCACTGTCAGGAAGTTTCTTCTTAGTTCTAGGTTGCTTTTCTCCTGGATTAGTTTCCATCCGTTGCTTCTTGTCCTGCCTTCGGGTGCTTTGGAGAATAGCTTGACTCCCTCTTCTTTTTGGCAACCCCTGAGATATTGGAAGACTGCTATCATGTCACCCCTCGTCCTTCTCTTCACTAAACTAGACTTGCCAGCAACTGTTCCTTATATGTTTTAGCCTCCATCCCCTAATCATCTCTGTTGCTCTTCTATGCACTCTTTCTAGAGCCTCAACATCTTTTTTACATCGTGGTGACCAAAACTGGATGCAGGATTCCAAGTGTGGCCTTACCGAGGCATTGTAAAGTGGTATTAACACTTCAAGCTCAGACAGCATCTGGGTTCAAACTACCTAATCATGTTTTAGCCTAGCCTAGAGTATGAGCCGTGGTGGTGCAGTGGTTAGAATAGGGCTTTTCAACCTTTTCACCCGTTGTACCACCTTTAGGATATGGCAATATCTGAATACCACCAGTCGCCCAGCAAGGTGTCAAAAACTTGACCCAAAAAAAAAAAAAGGAAAAAAGGGATAAAGTACAGGTAGTCCTCGACTTACAACAGTTCGCTTAGTGACTGTTTGAAGTTACAATGGCACTGAAAAATGTGCCCCCCAAGCCACAGACGAGCAAGTCACCTGCCTGCCCACCCAGCGGCGCTCTTCATCCTGTCCGATGTTTTCATTGTGAGCATTTCTGTTGAGGATTGGCAGCAGGGGTGGGGTGGGGGGTGTTTGGTTTTTATTCCCCCCCCCCGTCTGCTGGGTGGTTGCAGCAGGTTTTGGTCACTTCACATGACCCTGGGACACTGTGACCGTCATAAATATGAATCAGTTGCCAAGCATCTGAATGTAAATCACAAGACCCTGGAGAGGCTGCAACATTCCAGCTGATCGGCGCTTCTTCTGGGCTCAGCAGAAGTGCCAGGATCAGTGCTGCTTTCCAGCTGATTGGTGCTTCTTCAGGGCTCAGCAGAAGCACCAGGATCAGCGCCAAGCTCCAGCTGGAGCCTGGCACTGCTGATCCTGGCGCTTCCACTGAGCCCTGACAGCCCCAAAGAAGCGACGATCAGCTGGAAAGCGGCACTGATCCTGGCACTTCCGCTGAGCCCTGACAGCCCTGCAGCTCCAGCCGTCTCTTGCTCAGGCTTGTGCGGTGCTGCCACCATTCAGCTCATTCCCCTCCCCCGCTACCACTTTTCTAGGATGGTCGCGTACCACCTGCCAGGTGCCAATGTACCACAGGTGGTACCCGTACCACTGGTTGAAAAGCCCTGAAATACGCTGACTCTGTAAACTGCTTAGAGAAGGCTGTAAAGCACTACGAAGCGGTATGTAAGCCTAAGTGCTATTGCTGTCCTTCCAATGGAATAGCTCAGCTCCAGGGTTGCCATCCTCACGGCAAAACCTCATGCTTCAAATTAACACTCCTCTTTCTTTTTCCCATCTCACCTTCGCAGAAAGGTGCTGGATATCACCTGGATCTCTTCTGGGTGGCTGTGCTGATGATCATCTGTTCCTTCATGGGCCTGCCATGGTATGTTGCTGCTACCGTGATCTCCATTGCACACATCGACAGTTTGAAGATGGAAACGGAGACCTCAGCACCTGGTGAACAGCCCAAGTTTTTGGGAGTCAGGTATGCTGAACTGGTGGGAAGGGAGATTGAGTCCTAAACATTCTAGGAAGCTGTCTAGCCTGGCATTCTTCACAGACCAGAAGCTGCAGGCTGTATTTTCCCCGAACAGGTGGAGCAAACATAGCTTAGAGCAGGGGTCTTCAAACTTGGCCCTTTGATGACTTGTGGACTTCAATTCCCAGAAGTCCTCACCCAGGCACGCTGAGTTGAAGTCCACAAGTCATAAAAGGGCCATGTTTGAAGCCCCCTGGCTTAGAGCAATGAGACTTAGACATAGATAACATAGAGTAGATTGTGGGGTCCTTGGTGCTCTCTGATCTTGGGAGTTTTTTTCTCGCAAGGCGTTTCGTGGACAATCACTTAAATATGAGCCAGCCGTGTGCTGCAGCTGCCAAAAAGGCCAACATAGTGCTGGGCTGCATTAACAGAGGGATAGAATATAGATCACGTGAAGTATTAATACCACTTTACAATGCCTTGGTAAGGCCACACTTGGAATACTGCATCAAGTTTTGGTCACCACGATGTAAAAAAGATGTTGAGACTCTGGGAAGAGTACAGAGAAGAGCAACAAAGATGATCAGGGGACTGGAGGCTAAAACATATAAGGAACGGTTGCTGGAATTGGGTATGTCTAGTTTAACGAAGAGAAGGATGAGGGGGGACATGATAGCAGTGTCCCAATATCTCAGGGGCTGCCATAAAGAAGAGGGAGTCAAGCTATTCTCCAAAGCGCCTGAAGGCAGGACAAGAAGCAACGGATGGAAACTAGTCGAGGAGAGAAGCAACCTAGAACTAAGGAGAAATTTCCTGACAGTTAGAACAATTAATCAGTGGAACAACCTGCCTCCAGAAGCGGTGAATGCTCCAACACTGGAAGTTTTTAAGAAGAAACTAGACAGCCATTTGTCCGAAATCGTATAGGGTTTCCTGCCTGAGCAGGGGGTTGGACTAGATGACCTCCAAGGTCCCTTCCAACTTTATCATTATTATTATTATTTTAGATAACATAGAGTAGATTGTGGGGTCCTTGGTGCTCTCTGATCTTGGGAGTTTTCTCGTAAGGCGTTTCGTTACCAAACTAGGTAACATCATCAGTGCTGGAAGAGAATGGGAAAGATTGATGGCTGTTAATCAGCTGGGATGCATACTGGAGAGTACTAAGAAAGAGAAGGACGAGGGGGTGATGTGATAGCAGTCTCCCAATATTTGAGGGGCTGTCACAGAGAAGAGGGAATTGACTTATTCTCCAAAGCACCTGAAGGCAGAACAGGAAGCAACGGATGGAAACTAATCAAGGAGAGAAACAACCTAGAGCTAAGGAGAAATTTCCTGACAGTGAGAACAATCAATCAATGGAACGGCTTGCCTCCGGAAGTTGTGCGTGCTCTAACACTGGAGGTTTTTAAGAAGAGATTGGACAGCCATTTGTCTGAAATGGTATAGGGTTTCCTGCCTGAGCCAGGGGTTGGACTAGAAGACTTCCAGGGTCCCTTCCAACTTTATTATTCTACGTTCCATATTCTATCTTTCTTGAACAGTAAAATGTCCTTCAAATAAGAGTTGATTATTTTATTCCTGGATTTGATTTCAGGGAGCAGAGAGTGACTGGATGCCTCGTATTCATTCTGACAGGCGTTTCGGTGTTCATGGCGCCCATCTTGAAGGTAAATGCCTTTTTTTTAATTTGTTTATCTCTTCCCCATCCTTCTTAGAATTCTGAAATAATAATCCCTTAGCCAGAAAGTTCAAAAAAGCAACGTATTTTTATTATATTAAAAGGACTGAAATGAAACCATTAAAGAGGAAGATCAAAACATTATTGCTGTGATTTTAAGGACAGAGGAAATTCCTGAGAAACATACTCAAGAGGAGAGGAATCACAGCAGAAAGAGGAGAAATTTTGCCTTGGCATTTGCAGAAAATGTTTTTGCAACCGCATAGGCCAGGGGTAGGCAACCTTGGCTCTTTTATGACTCGTGGACTTCAACTCCCAGAATCCCTGAGCCAGCCATGCTGAGGGGAAAGGGAGAGGTTTCCAAGCTGAGCCATGCTGGCTCAGGAATTCTGGGAGTTGAAGTCCATGAGTCATAAAAGAACCAAGGTTGCCTACCCCTGGTCTAGGCTGAATTTAGGGACAATTATGGGCAGGGTTTTTGTTTTTTTTTGTCTTAGCCAAATTTTGCCGGGGTAGAATCCCAAGATTTTGGACAAGTTGTACCTGGGGGAAAAACAGTTACTCTTATTTTATTATAAAATAAAACCAGGTTTCCAAATCAAGAGGAATGAAAATTATACAGACCCAGAATTCTATAATGTCTGTCCGTCTAATCCTTTATATAGCCATCCATCTCATGCATGTGACTCTGAACAATAAAAACAATACAAGCACATCTTAAATAACCACAAAAACAGGAAACATCCACGCCATCCCAGAAAGTGTTTTAAAACTCAGACATTGTAGAGCATCTTGTGTGCTCCCCGGCTCCAGGTGTTCCCCAGGCCTGTTGAAAAAACCAAGAGCGATAATCCTCGACTTACGACTGGTCGCTTAACATTCTGGACACTTGGCAGCTGTCCCGCATTTACAGAAATTAGCAGCATTCCTGTGTTTTACGATGGTTGGCTGGCAACCCCAGTTTCCATCAAACGTGCACGGCAAACAACGGGGTTGCTTAATGACCATAGTGGTCATAAAATTGGGTCCAGTCACGTGACGACCTGCTTTACAACCAATTACCACTGTAATAGTTGGGGTCAGTTATGGTAATAACTCAGGGACTACCTGTAAGCACATTGTTGTGGACCTAGAGAATTTTTTTGAAGACCTAAGGAGGTCTAAAGTTAATGTTGATGGTCAAGAGCTGTAGGTGTTTAATTGGGCAACTAACGGAAAGTTAAGTAATGACCTTCATTTTTTTTATATCTGCTTGGTACGTAGGGCAGTTTTCCCCTAGCACAGGAGTCCCCAACCTGTGGGCCACAGCCCACTATAGATCCGTGGCCTATTCGCAACTGGGTTGCATGAGTGGCTGGCTAGTATGCCCGTGCACGCGTGCACAGCCGCACTCATGCAAGTGTCACAGGCTATCACTGCTGCATGCGTGCAAGCATCGCGGGCACTCGGGGACCCACTTGCACAAGCATCACAGGTGCTCAGGGACCCACTCATGAGCTTCATGGGTGCTCTTGGCCTCGTGCGAGCAATGGGTGCTCATGTGCACACCCGTACGCACCTGCTCCTCCCACAAAACCGCCCATTCTTTTGTCCCTCCTCCCCCGGGAGTACAAGACCACCCATTTGGGAGATGCCAGTTGCCTCCACTTTGGGGATGGTGAATGGATTAAAAAAAAAAACCAGGACCACACATTAAGTTCCAGTTAACCTGATTAATTTCTATACCCACGAATCTAGTCAACTAATGGTCAGCACTAAATTGGCCCCAGATAAGAACTAACAGAGTTGGGCTTGGGTTGCTTATGGGAACATAACAATTCTAGGCTGATTTCTCTCTTGACTCCACCCCCAGACTCTGCCTCTTCTTCTCCTACAGCAGACATGTCAAACTCGCGACGTCACGTGACGTCGCGCAACGTATCGGGACGGTTTTGCCATTGCCGGCAATGGGGTGGGCGCAGCTTCCAGATGACGCATCTGGCCAGCGGGCCGGCAGTTTGACATCCATGTCCTACTACAGCTTTCCCAAAATTCTGGGGAATTGCCGTCAACTCCCCGGTTCTGATACGGGATTTTGGCATGTGCTTGCAGACTTTCTATATTGTAAAGTGTTCAGATTTGGTTGTATGACCGTGTTACTGGGGTCCAGCTGTGCCCTATCGTTGAAAATAATTGGTTAGCAGGACTGTCGGTGCATGAACTGTACAGTAGCCATGGCAGTTCTGGTTTGCATGATTCGTACAGGAAGAATAGAATTTTGAATCTTGAAATCAAGGTGTGGGCATGGCCTTCAAAACTGCAGTGGATCAGAGCAAACTCCAAGGGATATGTTGCGGCTGTAAACAAAGAGATCCATCATTTTAATGTGTTTTTTTTTTCCCCTGCTGGGCATGAAAAGCCAGAGAAAGTGCAATTAGAATTCTGCTCATTTCTTTGTTCCTTTTTTTTTTCAAATACCTCTTTCCCTCTCTGGTGCTTCCAACAGCTCCTTCGTTGTTTATTAACAGACTGGTTAAGATTGCGTAATTACTGTTGTGCAGAAGTGTCTGCATTGCAAACAAAAATAGGTGAGAACAATTCTGCACTGAAGTAATTTACTTAGGTTGTAGAGCAGGGGTGTCCAACCTTGGCAAACTTTGAGGCCTGTGGACTTCAAGTCCCAGAATTCTCCAGCCAGCCAGCCATTTTATTTTAATTTTAATGCTGGTTGAGGAATCCTGGGACTTGAGGTTCACAGGTCTCAAAGCTGCCAAGGTTGGGCACATCTACTGTAGAGTGTGCTGGGAGGTGTCTGGTTTGCCAAGGATCAGGGCAGTGTTCAGGTGCCCAGGCAATTAGCTCTTCTGGATCCAGAGGCAATAAGCAAAGCAGCAATTAATGGGGTTTTAAGAGTTGTTATTATTAGCTCAAACGGACAAGAATTAAAGCATAATATAAAAGGCAGACACACCAAGAAAAATAATATCCAAATTTCATATGTATGTATATATGTATATATGTCTAGATAGATAGATAGATAGATAGATAGATAGATAGATAGATAGATAGATAGATAGATAGATAGATAGATAGATAGATAGATAGATATAGAAAGACAGACAGACAGATAGATAGATATATTAATTTTTTTATAATTACAAATGCTTAATATTTTATCAGCAACATATTGTCTGGGTTCCAAAATTTAACTTATTAATACATGTTAAATTCCTTTCTCTCTATCTCGTTTTTCTAGCCATTGATAAAAGGTATCCCATGTTCTAAAGCAGGGCTTTTCAACCTTTTCACCCATTGTACCACTTTTAGGATATGGCAATATCTGAGAACCACCAGTCGCCTAGCAAGGGGTCAAAAACTTGATGACCCCCCAAAAAAAGGAAAAAAGTGATAAAGTACAGGTGGTCCTCGACTTACAACAGTTCGCTTAGTGACTGTTCGAAGTTACAATGGCACTGAAAAAAGGGCCCCCCAAGCCACAGCCGAGCAAGACCCCTGCCTGCCCACCTGGCGGCGCTCTTCCTCCTGTCCGAGGTTTCATTGTTGTGAGCATTTCTGTTGAGGATTGGCAACAAGGGTGGGGTGGGGAGGTTGGTTTTTATTCCCCCCGTCTGCTGGGTGGTTGTAGCAGGTTTTGGTCACTTCACATGACCCTGGGACACTGACCGTCATAAATATGAATCAGTTGCCAAGCATCTGAATGTAAATCACAAGACCCTGGAGATGCTGCAACATTCCAGCTGATCGGTGCTTCTTCTGGGCTCAGCAGAAGTGCCAGGATCAGTGCTGCTTTCCAACTGATTGGTGCTTCTTCAGGACTCAGCAGAAGCACCAGGATCAGCGCCGAGATCCAGCTGGAGCCTGGCGCTGATCCTGGCACTTCCACTGACAGCCCTGAAGAAGCGCCGATCAGCTGGAAAGCGGCACTGATCCTGGCGCTTCCGCTGAGCCCTGACAGCCCTGCAGCTCCAGCCGTCTCTCACTCAGGCTTGTGCGGTGCTGCCACCGGTTCAGCTCATTCCCCTCCCCCACTACCACTTTTCTAGGATGGTCGCGTACCACCTGCCAGGTGCCAATGTACCACAGGTGGTACCTGTACCACTGGTTGAAAAGCCCTGCTCTAAAGTATACGGAATCTTCTTTCTCTTTCATTTTCAATGTCAATCTATCCATTTCTTTTTAATTAACTCTTCCTCCGTTGGTAAATCTTCATTTTTTCCAGTGTTGAGCGAATACAATTCTCGCTGCAGTCCATACCTGTAAAATTAGATATATACCTTCTTTCTCATAATTTCCTACAATTATGCCTAACAAAAATAATTCTGACTTAAAATCTATATGTTTTTCTACCCAAGGCTGTCAGGAGCTCTATAATAACGACAGCAGAGAAGCGCCAAGGTAGGGAACAGTGTCCACAGAATCTAATGTTAGATTTTGTGCAGAAACTCTCAAACAAACAACACAACTTCAAGGTTTTTATCAAAACCTGGGGCCATTAAGTCCTGCTATGGTCAGGGACTGTAAGACCTGACCTTGACCGGCTGGCACAACACTCTGGGCTGGGAATCAAAAGTGTGAGACTTTCACAGCAGAAAAAGCTTTGAAGTGGTGTGAAGATTCTTCCCCTTCTCTTTTATTTAGTAAACAAAAGTATAAAAAAAAAAACCAAGCAAGCTAGCTAAAACCGAGCTTTAAATAAATATCTAGACTTTTCTTAATATGAAGAGAAATCAAAACATGCCACTAATCTCCTCAAAATAACAATGGGTCTTCCTCATTGCCACCACAGTACTCTTCTCAAAAGTACTAGAATAGAATAACAGAGTTGGAAGGGACCGTGGAGGTTTTCTAGTCCAGCCCCTTGCTCAAGCAGGAGAACCTATACCATCTCAGACAAGTGACTGTCCAGCCTCTTCTTAAAAATCTCCAGTGATCGAGCGCCCACGATTTCTGGGGACAAGCTGTCCCACTGATTAATTGTCCTCACTGTTA